TGATAAAACTCTTTTGGTCCCCATATTCTGCCTACTTCATACCACCCAATTACCATTGTTTACAGTAAAACTGTTTTTTAAAAGTTGTCTATAATCCCTGGCCTTAGATTTTCTCCAATTAATTGGAGTGCAAACTCTTTATGGACAAGTTTACACCCCTACCTCTCCACTATAATAACCTGTGCCAAAATCTCCAATAATCAATACATTATCTAATCAATCCTCAGTTCAATCCCCAGCCTTCAATTTCATTTAATCTATCCACACATTGGACTTGGCTAATCATGCCTTTATTCTTCAACCTTGCTGTTCCTTTCCAAGATCTTACTCTCTCTGGGTTCTCTTTCTAGTCAGACTCTCCTTCTTAGGCTGATTACTCTTACCTCCTTTACTTGTGCAATATAAGTGGAGCTCATTACACAGAAATCTTCTATATATATATATATTCAATGCTTAAGCTATTTCATATTATGCTATGACTTTGAATGCTATCCATAAGAAAACTATTCTCAACTTTCTATATCCATTCTGTAATTATCACCTGATCCCAGATTCATATATTCAACTGCCTTCTTACTGTGTCTACTTGCATATCTCATGGTTGTCTCAAACTTAATGTATCCAGTACAAAAACACATTCAGATCACCATCTAAAGTTGCTTATTCCGCATTCCTACCTCAAATACCTGTTAGTTGGCTATTGTTCCAGTTATTCAAGTCAAAAATTTTCAATCATCTTTGACTCTGCTCTTTATTTTGTGCCCCACATCCAATCCTTAGTAAATGTTATAAGCCCTATCTTCAAATCACTTTAACCCAATAACTTCTATTCTTTCCAATAGGTTCTCTTCCCTTTATTAAAGTAGTTTCACCACTTTCCCCAACACTACTCATTTATTCTTCCCTTGGGAGCTATAATCAGATCATTACGTCATCACTTGAAACCTATCTTGGAGGCTTTCTATAGCTCTTAGATTAAAACCAAAGTCCTTGAAATGATCTTGGAATGCTACATGGATTGACCCTACTGCCTCTTTGACTTGCTCTCTTATCATTGCTCCATTCCTTACTCTGGCTCTGGTCATTTGACCTGAGACCAACCAAGGCCTGCCCCTGCCTTCTGCCCTCTGGATATCTTTTTCCTCTACCTAAAAACTCTTAGAGGAAGAAATATTTTGCTGATTTTGTCTCAAAAGACGTCTTATCAGAGAGGCCTTTCTTATCCATCCTCTGTAAAATAACACTCCTCTGTGTCCTGGTCCCCTCTCACTTCCTATTTCCCTCTTTTGTGTTCATCACATTTATTACCATCTGACATATATATTGATGGGTTTATTGGTGTGTTACTTGCCCTTGTTCTATTAGCATTAGTTTGCTTCTGTGTCTTACCTTGGCATCTGGTCAAATCTCCACGAATACTTTCAGAAAAAAAAGAAAATAAAAGCAAATCTGAAACCAAGACTCGTGATTTCAAATGGAATGTCTGGCATTATAGCTGAAAAAAATAGTCAAAACTGACCTATGAAAGTATCATACCAATATTTTAGATCACATGAGCTTACATCGAGAAAAGCTGAAGACTCCATTAAAAAAACTATTAAAATTGATAAAGGGCATTGTGACACTGCAGGTTAAGCAGCCACCTGTGATGCTAGCATCCCATGTAAGCAACAGTTCCAGTACCAGCTGCTCCACTTCTTATTCAGCTTCCTGCTAATGTGCCTCAGAATGCTCAGGAAATTGGCCAAGTGCTTAGGACCCTGCCACTCACATGAGAGACCTGAATTAGTTCCTAGCTCCTGGCTTCAGTTTGGTCCAGTCTGTCCACTGTGGCCATTTAGGGTGTGAACCAGCAGACAGATCGATCTTTCTGTCTCTGTAACTCTTTCAAATAAATAAATAAATCTTTTTTAAAAAGCGATACATGAATTCAGTAAGGTTGCATGATAAAAAATGAACATATAAAAATCAGTAACTTTTTTATACAATAACAAAATTACTGAGAAAATAATGTTTTAAAAATCCCATTCACAAGAACTATTAAAAAAATACCTACAAATACATTTAACCAAAGAAGCAAATAAATTTTACAAGGAAAATGACAAAACACAAATGAAGGAAATTGAAGAGGTTATAAAAATATGGAAAGATATTACATCTTTATAGGTTTCAAGAATATCATTAAAATATCCTTACTACCAAATTGATCTACAGAGTCAGAAAATACCAATGACATTCTTCACAGAAACAGTAAGAAGTTTAAAATTTGTTTGAAACCACAAAAGACCCCTAATAGCCAGGGCAGCCTAGAGCAAAAATAACACAGATTGAGTCATTACAATAACTGACTTGCTCCACTTCCTATCCAGCTCTCTGCTATGGCCTGGAAGAGCAGTAGAAGATGGCCCAACTCCTGGGGTTTGGGCCCCTGTACCCACGTGGGAGATCTGGAGGAAGCTCCTGGCTTTGGATCAGCACAGCTCCAGCCGTTGCAGCCAATTGGGGAGTGAACGAGCAGATGGAAGACGTCTCTCTCTCTCTCTCTCTCTGCCTCTCCTCTCTCTGTGTAACTCTGATTTTCAAATAAATAAATAAAAATAACTGACTTTAAAACATACCAACAAACAAACTATAGTAACCAAAAGCATAGTAGTGGATAAAAACAGACACCTAAGTCAATGAAAGAGAATCCAATGCCTAGAAATAAATCCACTTATGTACAGTCAACTGACACAACAAAGTTAGCAAGAACATGCATTGAGAAAGGAAAATATCTTTGCTAAATGGTGCTGGGAAAATTGAGTATCTCCATGCATAAGAAATTAGACCCCTATCTCTCACAATATACAAAACTCAAGTTCAAATGGACCAAAAATTTCAATGTGAGAACTGAAATATAAAAGTACTACAATAAGGGGGCCAGCACTGTGGCTCACTTGGTTAATCCTCCGCCTGCAGTGCCAGCATCCCATATGGGCGCCGGGTTCTAATCCTGGTTGCTCCTCTCCCAGTCCAGCTCTCTGCTGTGGCCCGGGAGGGCAGTGGAGGATGGCCCAAGTGCTTGGGCCCCTGCACCCACATGGCAGACCAGGAGGAAGCACCTGGCTCCTGGCTTCAGATTGGCGCAGCGCGCCGGCCATAGCAGCCATTTGGTGAGTGAACCAACAGAAGGAAGACCTTTCTTTCTCTCTCTCTCTCTCTCTCTCTCTCTCTAACTCTGCCTGTCAAATAAAAAAAAAAAAGATTCTTCTTTTAAGAAAAAAAGAAAGTACTAGAATAAAACACAGAAAAAATGCCTCAGGAAAATTCTCAGGGCAAACAATTTTTGGATATGACCCCAAAAGTATAGGCAACCAAAGCAAAAATTGACAAATAGAATTTTATCATGCTAAAAAGCTTCTATACAACCAAGAACACAATCAATGGGATGAGGCAACAAACCCACAGAATGAGAGAATATATTTGTGAACTATACATCTGGCAAAGAATTAATATTTATAACATATAATGAACTCAATAGTAAAAAACCAAATAATCTGATTTAAAAATGAACAAATAACTTGTTTCATAAAAGAAGTTATACGAAGGGCTAAAGAGGTATATATGAAAAAATGCTCAACATCATAATCATCGAGGAAACACAAAATCAAAACCATACTGGGACACTCTTCATCCCTGTTAGAACTGTAATTATCAAAAAGACCAAAAATAATGCTGATGAAGATGCAAAGAAAAAGAACTTTCCCCCCATACACACACACACACACACACACAAATACACAGCCATTACTATAAACACTACAGAGATTCTTCAAACATCAAGAAACAGAACTGCCAGTTGATGCAACAAACCCATTACTGAATATGTATCTAAAGAACATGAAATAAGTATGTCAAAGAGGAAATCTTCACTACCATTTTTATGGCAGCACTGTTTACAATAGCCAAGATACAGAATCAACCTAAATTCATCAATGGATAAATGGATAAGGAAAATGTGATATAATCTCACAATGAAATATTAGTCAGTCATAAAGAAGAATGAAATTCTGCCATGTGCAATGACATTGATGGAACTGGAGGGTATTGTGTTAAGTCCTTATTAGGTTCAGAAAGACAAATACTACACATTTTCATTTATATATGGAACCTAAAATGTTGATTTCATGGAAGAATAGAACACTGCTAACTAGAGCCTAGGAAGGGTGTGGGGCAGGGGACATGGAAGGATGATGATTAATGGGTACCAGGGCACACCTGGGTGGGAGGAATAACTTCTAATGTTCTATGGCACAACAGAGTAAATATGTTTAACAATAATTTATTGAAAACTTCAAAATAGATAATAGGATTTTAAATGTTCCCAGCACAAAGAAATAAATATCTGAGGTGATGGACATGTTAATCATCCCATCTGACCATCATACAATGTATATTTATATTGAAAAGTCACACTGTATCCCATAAATATGTACAATTACTATGTGTCAATAAAAATTAAAAGATCTTTTAAAGGATAATGAATTTTGTTATTCCTGATATTGATACTAAGGGGTAAGAACGAAACTTGGTGATACCATGTGGCAGGCACACCTCTAACCTGTAATACCAACCCATACAAGTCAGATGTTTGGTACATGTTTTTGAGGCTCAGGTCAAAACCAGTTACTAAGAGGAATAGAGAAAAAAAACCCTCAAAAACCTCCTCTCTTATTCCATTAAGAAAAAGAACTGAAAGCAGTGTGAAAGAGAGATAAAGTGAGACAGAATTTAAAACTTCACCAGCTTTTATTTTATTTATCTCTGAATGTACTTGTAAATTTGATTTGTATCATAATTTTACACTCAAATCTGTAATAAGTAAACCTTAGCCTAGAGACTTTATACTCATCTATACTTATTTTTCTTAACAAAACTTTACAGAGAAATGCACTAATAAAAGCATAAGAAGGAAAACATAGCAAAACTTGCCCTCTACCAAGGAACATTGGATTCCATACTTGTAGCAAGGAGATGCTTTCTCCACGCACACAAACCCAAAGTAGCCTCTTCTGCCTCCAAGTCTGGAACCTTTTCGATGCTTGTATTCACAACACGAGCTTAATCTGTTCACCTGCATCCCATTCAGGAAAAAGGTAAGACTGAAGGGAAAACCATGGTGCCTTTTGGAAATAAACTGGAAGGTTTCTGGAATTAAAAAAAGAAATACATTAATGAAAGCAACTGTCTTTGAATTGACACCTTCTAAGTTAAATTTTTCTACTAGATAAATACAAAATTATGCTCTAGATAATCTTTTCATCTGAAGACAACTTTTAATCCTAAAACCACATTTTATTACCTTCATTTTCAACAAATATTTCAAATCTTTATACAACTCTTTGATTTGCATTAAAATAATACATAACACGATATGATAACTTATGTCGGGTATTATGCCTCATTCATTTGGGTATGTTATTTCTCAGCAGCTATGTGAAGTGGGAATACTTCTATCACTAGTTTCTAGTGGAGAAATAAATGCTTAGAGGATTTTAAAAATTTACCAAAATTCATAGTGTACGTGGGGAATTTAGTGTTTGAATCCGAAGGTCTCTCTAGGTTCCTTGCCTCTTTCTTGCTGTTAACTACTGATTAAGAACTTAGCGACAAAAGGCTGTGGTGAGCTCAGTGATGCTCTTTTAAAAATTTGTATTTTCAATTGTGACTTTAATCATTCTAATATACATATAGGGATACTTCAAAATTTTAATGGGAAAATGAAATTAAAAGATACATTTGTGAGGGGGTGGGCTTTGACTAGCGATTAAGACATGCACGTCCGTTATCAGAGTGCCTGAGTTCCGTGCCCAGTTCTGGCTCCTGACTCCAGCTTCCTGCTCACACAGACCCTGAGAGGCAGATGGCTTCAATGATTTTGTTCCCGCCACCCACATGGGAGGCTTGGATTAAATTCCTGGCTACAGGCTTTTGCCTGACCCAGTCCTGGTCATTTAGGGAATTTGGGAAGTGAGCTAGTATAGATGAGTGCTCGCTCTCTCTCTCTCTCTCTCTCGTTCTCTTTCTCACTTTCACTCTCACTCTCTCGCTCTCCATCTGTCTCTTTGCCTCTCATAACAATAGAAAAAAAAACATAAAAAGATGTTTATTTTGGTGCCAAAGAAAATCTTGAATTCTATGCAAATAAAGCATATAATAAAAAGTTCACAGAAATGTGTATTATGAGAAAACTGCATGGATTTCAAGACTGTTGTGAACCAAAATAAACTTATTTTTAAAATTAATTTTCCATCAACTTTTTGAAGTCCTCTCATATGAGTGAAGCAGAGTTATTCCGTATCTAAGCCATATTTGATTCTGTTTGGATTTGAGATCCCTTAATTTACTTTATTTAAAGATTTATTTATTTATTTATTTATTTAGAAGGCAGAGTGACTGAGAAAAAGAGATAAACAGAGAGAGAGAGATCTTCCATCCACTGGTTCATTCCCCAAATGCCAACAATAGCTAACGCTAGGCCAGGCTGAATTCAGAAGCCAAGAACTCCACCCAAGTCTCCCGCAGAGGTGGCAGGAACTCAGGTTCTTGGGACATGATTCACTGCCTCCCGAGTGCAACTGGCAGTAGAGAAGACTCAAACAAGGACTCCTATATGGGATGCCAGTTTCCCAAGTGGCACTGAATTTACTGCTCCACAATTCCTGCTCCTGAGACCCCTCTTATTTCTCTCCCACCCACCCACAAGTCCCACAAGCATATTAAGAATCACTACTTGCAATGAATAGTTTTTAGTCATACTAAACTTTTTTTTAAAGATTTATTTTACTTATTTGAAAAGTGACAGAAAGAGAGAGGCACACAGATTTTCCATCTGCTTGTTTCACTTTCCAAATGGCTGCCATAAGCTAAGACTCAGCCAGGCCAAAGCTAAGAGTCAGGAACTCCATCTGGCTCTCCCACATGGGTGGCAGGGGCCCAAGCATTTGTGCTGTCCTTTACTGCTTTCCCAGGCACATTAGCAAGAAGTTGGATTGCAAGTGGATTTTCCAGGACTCCAGTGCCACAATGCCATCCCCAATCATACTGAATCTTTATAGTACTCTTTGACAGTAGGTAATAATTGCCCAATCTTTGAAAACCTGTTCTCTAGATAGCAATTCAGAAACCTGTTTCTTAGAAACACTTCTAGTGTCACTTCCTACAAAAAAAAAAAAAAAAAGGAAAGGAAAGAAAAGAAAACCCTTCTTGGATCCTTTCAAATGTCTCCCAACTGTGGCTCAAAAGAGGAGAATGGTATCTTCTCACAGGTTTAGAGGCCAAAAGTCCAACATCAAGGTGTTGGAAAGCTCCAGGGGATAATATTCCTTGAGCCTTAACCTCTCGTGGCTACTGACAGCCCATGTATTCTTTTTTTTTTAACTTTTATTTAATGAATATAAATTTCCAAAGTACAGAATATTGATTACAATGGCTTCCCCCCCATAACGTCCCTCCAACCCGCAACCCTCCCCTTATTCACTCCCTCTCCCCTTCCATTCATATCAAGATTCATTTTGACTTGTGGCTTCATCACTCTGATCTCTGCTTTGGTCTTCACACACAATTTTTTGCGTGTTTCTCTTCTCGTTTTCCAAAGGTATCAGTCATTGGCTTTAGGAAGAAACCTAAATTCAGGATGATATTATCTTGATCCTTCACTAATCATATTTGTGAAAACCCTATTTCCAAATAAGGTCAAATTCTGAGGTTGTAGGTGGTACTGAATTTTTGGCGGAAACAATTCAACCCATTATAGTGGAGTCAAAAGGACATTCAAAGTTTGGGCAATTTTCAAATCTGCTCCAACTCTTCTTTTTCATCATGCTGTCTCATGTTTCCTCTGTGCATAGGTAAGAGCTTCTGGGAGACTGGAACATATGAATAGGTTGGGCCCACTCCAACCCATGCTGCTTCTAGTTAACGGGGATATGTAGAGTTTATTGAACACCATTATGACTGCCTTATGGCCTGTCCTTCCTTGTGTAATTTCGGGTTAGTACCCTGGGCTGTTGCTGGCTCTAATTAGAACTCTAGTCTCAGGTTAGCAGAACCTCTGACCTTCTCTGTTAGCTTGCCTGAGAGGTTGCTACTTATTACTGGGGGAAAAGCCACAAGCCAAAGGTTTTTTTGTCTTCTGCTCCAAATCAAGTCAGCCCCACTGACAGTGAAGCTGCTGGTTATTTATGGCCTGCCCTAGCCAATTAGAACTACTCTGAGGAAACAGTGGCAGGTGTGAGGCATGAGAATAGCCCCAGGCAAGAATGCTGCAGGTTCCAACTGTTTTTACCTAAAGTTCAGTAATTTTTCATGAATAAGCGCTGCTCACTTTCCGTCTTTGGTCTATTTACAGAGACGTAATGGTAAGGAGGATGGATTTGGTGACCTCACCGCAAAAGTCTGGTGTATTAATTTTGCTTCCCTGATGATTTAGAGCTTGTTGAAAGAGGAGACCACATCTGATGTTTCTTTTCAGTATGCTTGTTTCCCTTTAGTGCCTTAACCAGTGCTATCAATGGTCAGCGAACAATGCACAACTACATTTTATAAATATTATAAAATTCTCTCTAGTATTATACATTATATAATCTTAAAGAGTGCTATGTGAAGTGGATAGACTGGGACTTCCCTTCTTTGCCCGCAGATGTCCCTTTTGTAAATGGTAATTTTGAAATGCTACAAAGTCAGACGGCTTACCAAGGAACTCTCAACTAAGTGAAAAATGAGACATGGACCCAAACCTTCTGATTTCCAGTCAATAATCTTTCTACTTTCTCATGAAAGAAATCCATTAAGCTATTGTTGGGAGGTGTCACTATATTTTGAAATACAAAATTATAAAATAAATAATGAAAGATTAAAGGCAGATAGTCTCATTTGGCTCCTGGCTTTGGCCTGGCACAGCAGTGGCCATTGCAGCCATTTGAGGGATGAAACAGAGGATGAAATCCGATCTCTCTCTCTCTCTCTCTCTCTTTGTAACTCTGCCTCTTAAGTAAAGAGAATAAATCTTTTTATAAAAAAGGTTTCAATTACAAAGAGAGGAAAAAGATAGGACTAAGAATATAGCACAAGACAGTGCATGAAAATAGTGTGTGTGAGGTGGGGGTCAATGAAGGACCATTTGTGAGGGACTGATGAGCAAATGGGTGCAACCAAACTAAGTTACAGAAGTACAAGAAAACTGGGCAGAAAAAGAAGGGATTATAGAGGGCCAGACAAAAAGTTAACTTTGTTCTTTGCTCCACATTAACCCAAGAGGCCACAGTTTTTCTTGTTTGAAAAGATAAACATGGCAAACTAAAATACCTGTAAAGAAATTGTACTGTTTACAAATAGTAGAAAACATTCAGCGACTTCACAGGTGTACTTGTAATAAACAATCAACTTGCAGCTTGAAGGCTAAAATCGAACTGCAAGACATCATGAATTGTTATGGAAATAAAAGAGGCACTTGCCACTTTCCTAAATCATTTTGCGATTTCTAATAAAATAGCAAGACAAATTAACAAATGCCACTTTTTAATGAGTTTACTGCTCTAAGCATAGCATTAAATGCCCTCCTTTTTTTTTTAACAGAAAGCTTCTAAAAACCTATTCACATTTCAGTGAATCATGCACAGCTTTGATTTCCAAAAAGCGTATATTCTTTTCAGCCCAGCTAAATGTCTAAGATTGCTGAACTGCAAGTCAACTCTGAGCCACCCAACTTTTCAATGTTGGACAATTACTTTTCTGGTAGCCAAGGGCAAGCCAAAACAAAATTATTGTATGAACAGTATTCAATTATTCACATCCTCATGCCATCCTACTATTCATTACCGTCCAGTGCCATTGCAAACAGTCCCAGGATTGATGTGTATGTAAAATTACTCTGAGCCAAGTTCCAGCCTTTCTCCCAGAACCATTGATGCTGCACTTTCAGCACAGAGGGAGTATTATTAATCATAGAATCATTCAGCTGAGCCTCGTTCTATCTTTCATTGTACCTACCACATTTTCCAACAGTGATACATACATTATATATGTGTTTTGTTGAATAAAGTGTGACCTGAGGCCCATGAATATTGTCATGATGTTAATTCCAATTTTTGATTATAGCTAATCTCAGCAATTCACCTAAATTATTAACTGAAAATTATACTTAAAAGTAAATATATGTGTCTATGCCATTCTGATTATGGGTTCACACCCTTCCTTTCATGGAGAAGCCTGAAATTTCTTGCTACCAAGAGCAACCTAACTGGTATTGCATGGAACTGAGCAAAGGCTGTGTCCCCAGTCGGTGTTCCTGGGTCCGCTCTGAACTCCATCGAGAGCTGGATGTGAGGCCTAGAAAGCTGCATGACCTCTGGACTCCTCTCATTTTCTTCTTCTACTAACTGTAGGGAAGAGCTCTGGCACGCTATGGCAAAGACAGAGTAAATTTCCAGCAAACACATAAGGTGAGAAAAGTTGTTCCTAGCATGATGGAACTCTGTACTGTTTTACTATAAGTTAATACTACCATTCAATTGTCCACTCATTTTTATGTTGGGAAGATTTAAGTATATACTCCCTAAATATAGAGTTATATATGGTTTCTCTTTGAGGATATAAATTTTTAAATTAATACTCATTGTTCTGTTGAGGTTTTTTATTTGTTTTTAAACAGTGAATTGTTAGTCTTTTTTTAAATATTTATTTATTTATTTATTTGAAAGTCAGAGTTTACACAAGAAACAGGCAGAGAGAGGTCTTCTATCTGCTGGTTCACTCCCCATTTGGCCACAACAGCTGGAGCTGTGCCCATCTGAAACCAGGAGCCAGGAGATTCTTCTGGGTATCCCACGTGAGTACAGGGGTCCAAGGACTTGGGCCATCTTCTACTGCTTTCCCAGGCCACAGCAGAGAGCTGGATCGGAAGTAGAGCAGCTGAGACTACAACTGGCGCCCATTTGGGATGCTGGCACTGCAGGCAGTGGCTTTACCTGCTATGCCACAGCACCAGCCCCAAGTTACTCATTTTAAAAGTTTTTATTGGGGCTGGTGCTGTGGCACAGGATGTTAATCCTCCGCCTGTGGCACCGGCATCCCATATGGGCACTGGTTCTAGTCCCGGCTACTCCTCTTCTGATCCAGCTTTCTGCTGATGGCCTGGGAAAGCAATAGAAGTTGGCCTACGTCCTTGAGCCCCTGCACCTGCATGAGAGACCCAGAAGAAGCTCCTGGCTCCTGGCTCCGCATCGGCCCAGCTGCAGCCGTCACTGCCATTTGAGGACTGAACCAGCAAATGGAAGACCGCTCTCTCTCTTTCCTTCTCGCTGTCAGTAACTCTACCTGTCAAATAAATAAAATAAAATCTTTTTTAAAAAGTTTTTATTTATTTGCTTATTTGACAGAGGCAGGAATGGCGATAGAAACACAGAAATAGAGGGAGAGATAGAGATAGAGATATAGAGATAAGACCAAGAAAGAGAGATTGATGGATTTGATTGATTGATTGATTGATTGCTCTCTTCTACTGGCTTACTCTCCAAATGCCCCCAAAAGCTGGGGCCCAAACCGGGAGCCTAGAAACTAAGTCCATGTCTTCCATGTGGGTAGCAGGAAATCAATAATTTGTGCCATCACTACTACCTCCTAGGGTTCTCATTAGCAGGAAGCTAATCAGGACTTGGAGTCAGCATGAGACCCAGGTATTTGGTTGTGGGATTCAGGTGCCCTAACCAGCAGGTTAACCACTAGACCAAATCCTAACCCTAGAGCCACTGCTTTCAACTAACGGGAGAACTCAGAAAAGACAAAAGCAAAACACTATGTTTCTCAACACCTCCCTTAACTCCCAAGTCTGTATCAAGCTTTACCCAAATATAAATGTTTATTTCAATTAGTAAAAAATAGTATGCTTTCTAAACAGAGTTTCTTAAGCAAGGAAGTGACAAATATGATCCTGTAGACACTCTTCCATTTCATTGTTGTGCCACTAAACTAAATATTGAAGAAAAATACAATACAATATGTGAAAACCTCTATTTGATATAGAAGTTATCTTATGCTGACAAACGTGAATTTGCAATCAAATGAGAGCAGAAATGTACTAAAAAGCCATTTAGCCAAATTCTAATCCAAGTTATTTAGGTGTGATTCGCCCTGAAGTTTATTGGATTTGTGATTTTATCTCAACGTACCTTTAAAGAACGAATTGCCAGTCTGATGTTTTTCTCTTAGAATAATGTATGATATAATTCACTATGGCAAGCCAAATAGTTAACTTGTAATTTGGGGGACAGCTTATTCGTGGAACATTTGAATGATCATATATCTATCTCTATCCCAAAATTAATCTGTTACTAGGTTAAATCACTCCAAATTCTTTCTTCCACAATCTGCAAGAGTAATTGCTACTTCAGTTTCAATCATGCAGCAGTAAATCTAGATTTACTTTTAGGCAGCTGGTTTATAAGTCCCTGGATATGCATAATTTCATAAAGTGATTGAAGTCGTTTGGATATTATATCAACAACAGCTTATCTATAACATCAAACTCAGGCAATTAAAGAAATCCAAATTTTATATGTACCTTTTTCAAGTAGCTTGCCTTTGTAGACACAAAGGTTCTCCCCACCACAGTGCTGTTGATAAACTTTTATTTCATCCCGGAAGTCTGAGTTATCACAAGATAGATGCACATTTTTACCCAAATAAATCATTGTGATAACTGCATTACTATGCAGTGATGTTTTATGAATCCTTCTTGAATCCTAGAATAAATAAAAAATGAGGTTTATTAACTAATTGCCTTCTAATCAGAGTTTTAGTCTCACATGACATTGGAATGTGAAGAACAGAAAAAGCTGTTTTTAAGTATCTAGCAAAAAAACCTTTACAAGGTTAATTACACGGAGCAAGAGAGTCAACCACCTAACAAAAAGCATGCTTCTGAACAACTATAGCTTATGTGTTTTGACTTTATATTTTAGTGTAAATGCTGGAGATTTAGACAAATTTGTCATTTTTAAATGTTTTAAGTTTTTGTGTGTGTTTCACATACAGCAAAAATGTCGACGACACTGGGAGTAAATTACTTCAACTTCTCTTAGCTGGTTCTTAAATAAAAATTGAAACAAATAAATAAATATTACTGACATCACTTTGTTCTATTTTGAATTGACATTGATTCTTATTTTGTGATAGATTCTGTGGTTGACTGCTGCATCTTTACAGGTGAGCACTAGCAACATATCCTTCTCTGGGCTTGTCTACCTGGCAGGGGGATGCAAATGTTTGATTCCTTCTATTGTTACTCTGGATTAGAGATCATGTATGTTATATGCCCAGGATTATCCAATTTCACAAGTTCAATGCAAAAAACAAAATCGCTATTTTTTAAATTTCAAAATAATCTAATCAAGAAGTTTGAAATTTCAAGTTTAAAATTACATTTAAAAATCATTTTATTAACTATGTTATGGCATTCTCCAATTAAATTATTTATAAAATACACAATAAATTTGTATGCCAGTGAATTGCCTCTTAACTTATACCACAGAGGGTCTTAATTATAGTGAATGAGCATAGTGTTTGCCTAACTTCAAAGGAGAGGAAGAGGAGGGAGACCAAGGATAAAGAAAAGAGGAAGAGGCAGAGAGATAGTGGTGGTTGAGAGACTTTGAGGGGGCCCAATAAGAATGTTGTAGGCATCAAGAATTGAGCAAGGCAGGATTTGCTTTTCATCTACTTCACTTTTCTAAAAATCAATTTTTAGTTAAATGAAAAACATGGAGAGACCACCTTTCTGTCGATCCAAGGCAGTTATTTGAGTTTGATTTCATTCAATTATGGATGTATGGGAAGCATGCATTTTTTTAAGAATATCAAAGACGCGACAAAAATTTCTGAAGGAACCACTAACATATTTCCATCCCAAACCCATCCCCTTCCACCTCAAAGGATTTTTTTTTTTCATTTAATTCTATTTCTCTGAAGCAAAAACCAGAGGAAATACATCTGTTGTAATGAAATTCTACAAATAACATTCTGGAAAGTCTAACTGGAGATGGTGGAAAGGGAGAAGTTCAAGGTTTAAAATTCAACCAAATGGCCTTGCCTGTGCACAGCCTGGGCTCCTAAACAGACACAAAATCAACAGACATAGGTCAGGGACATCTGGAGTCTCTCAGGTAAGTTAGCAAACAAGATAACTTTTTTTGGAGATTAGAAACATGTCCCTACATTAAAGATGAAAGCAAAGGCAGATTTGCAAAATCCTAATCTAGTGGTTCCTCTCTCCTGAGCCACTGTGGGTCCCCTGCACAGTCAGTGGACCTAAAGCAAAATCAGCGCCAAGTTCCTGCTGGAACATTGAATCAAGTGACTAATTAAATAAAAGCATACCCATTTTGCTAGGCAAGACTTTCTGCAGTGGAATGGATTTAGAGGTGGGAGTGGGAAATTTGGGGAGATAAGCACAATTATAAATACAAGATAATAGTGGGATCAGAATTAGGGAAAGGCCTGTCTCACATGAAAGCTGAACAGAGAAACTTGGAAAATAATAATAAAAAAATGACAGCCCTTCATCCTCTTCACTTCCTGTTACTCATATTTTTCTTTTCTACAAAAGTGTTTTTCCTATAGTGACATCTCTTTTCTCTTGGGTCTAGTTACTTCATTCTGTTTTTAAAAAATATTTCCCAATTATTGCCACCAAGTAAACTTTTCCGAGTTCTAATATGAGGTTAGTGTGACAGCTCGTGATTAAAGACATGCACTAGGAAATAAACAATCGTTTCTTTCAGTTGACTAAATTGCTTCTAAACTTACCATCTTCCAAGGTTATAATGACCCTGGACTGATGAAATTTTAACAAGGTTTCAGGGACCTTTCTCTCATTCTCAAGCAAGTATCAAAACCTTCCATGGAAATTCAGCTACATTTCAAAAACAGAGCAAGGCCACATGCCCCTCCCCAGCTAAAGCTTATTATCTTTCTTCCTCCCTTCTCCAGTTGCTTAGAATTTTCCTCCTCTTTTTTTTTTTTTTTTTTTTTTAGATTCTCTAGGTAAATGCCATCTGAGCAGGCAAACAGTAAGCCCAATTGCATAGTTAAACAGTCAGCCATGGTGTATTTCTAATATTTAGGATTCAACTAATATAGTGAGTATTCTTTTATCCCTGTCCAAGCCTATGTGAGGGGTATAGACAAGAGATAAAAGCAGGCATCACCTCGCTTGGCTCGGGGAAGCCCAGCCAGGGGAGGGATTGTGTGAAGTTCTCACCATGCACAGGGCCTCCCGACTTCCTGGGAGCGTTGAATGATGGCACCCAGGACAGTAAGGCATAAAACACAGCTTTCACACTTACTCCTTTCTTTGTTGTTGTTTTTTAAGTTTTATTTAATTATTTGAAAGAGCAACAGAGAGAGAATCTTCCACCCACTGGTTCACTCTCCAAATGCCTACGGCAGCTGGAGCTGGGCCGGGCTGAGGCCGGGAGCCAGGAGCTCCATCTGGGTTCTCCAGGTGGGTGGAAGGGGCCCGGGTTCTTGGACCATCATCTGCTGCTTCCCAGGAGCATTAGCAGGAAGCTGGATTGGAATAGGAGTGACCGGGACTCCAGCAGGCACCCTGATGTTGGAGGGGGGTGTCACAGGCGGTGGCCTAACCTGTTGCACCAGAACACCCACCCTACATTTATTCTAAGAACTTCTGTTTAGAGGCCCGCACGGTGGTGCAGCAGGTTTAGCCACCGCCTGTGGCCCGCATCCCATATTGGAACGCTGGTTCTAGTTCCGGCCTCCTCGCTTCTGACCCAGCTTCCTCCAGGTATTACGGGAAAGGCAGCACATGATGGCCCCAGTGCTTGGGACCCCGCCATCATAGGGGAGACCCTTGTGGAGCTCCAGGCTCTTGGCTTCAGCCTGGCCCCATCCCAGCCATCGCAGTCTTTGGGGAGTGATGGAAGGTCTCTGTCTACCATTCTGCCTTTCAAACAAATAAATCATTTTTTAAAAAGAAAAAAAAAAAAACAGGCATCAAAGTTCCCATTCTTGTTGTTATTTGCATTTTTTAAACACTTATTTATTTTCATCTACCTGAAAGGCAGAATGAGAAAGAGTGAGAGCGAGAGCGAGGTCTTCCATCTACCGGTCCATTCCCCAAATCACTGCAACAGCCAAGACTGGGGCCAAGGCTGAAGCCAGGAGCCTGGAACTCATTGTAAGTCTCTCAAGTGACAGGAGCCCAAGCACTTGAGCCACCACATTCTTTTTCCCAGGATGCATTCACAGGAAGCTGGATAGGAAGTGGAGTAGCCGGCCGGGACTTGAACAGGCACTCCAATATTGGGTGCAGGCATCTGAAGCAGCTGCTCGACCCCTTGCACCACAACGCCTGCCCCCATTGATAATCCTGGGCAGCGACTCTACTCCATCTACTTACCCAAGCCCTGGTGAACTCTCAAAGTTACAAAGTCTTACCTGGACCACTATAACAGACTCCTAGGATGGCTAGAGAAGCTATAATTCAAACTGAGACATATAGTGAAAGAGGTGATTTGCTAGGAGGAAAGAGAGCAGAAACTTGAACTGTTCCAGGAAAAGGAGGATGGGCACTCTGCTTAGTCTCCCCACTTCCAGTGTGATTCCCTCAACATCTCCCTTGTTCTGGATATCAAAGAGATCTATGGTCACTAAATAGGTCACGGCCTTTAACAACTCCCAATTTCCATGGCATAAGTTTCAACAACATAAAATATCGTAGATTCTCCTATCATCTCTAAGTGATTTCATTTTCTTGTATCATATTTAAAGTTCCATATTTAAAGTTCCAGCAAATGGATCTGATTATAGTGGTGTAAACACTACTCATCTGTCTTTAATCCCCAGGGCTCTATAACTGTATGAGTCACATGATTTTATTTTTTATTTTTTATTTTTTAACAGGCAGAGTGGACAGTGAGAGAGAGAGACAGAGAGAAAGGTCTTCCTTTGCTGTTGGTTCACCCCCCAATGGCCACCGCGGCCGGCGCACTACGCTGATCCGATGGCAGGAGCCAGGTACTTATCCTGGTCTCCCATGGGGTGCAGGGCCCAAGTACTTGGGCCATCCTCCACTGCACTCCCTGGCCACAGCAGAGAGCTGGCCTGGAAGAGGGGCAACTGGGACAGAATCTGGCGCCCTGACCGGGACTAGAACCCGGTGTGCCTGCGCCGCAAGGCGGAGGATTAGCCTAGTGAGCCGCGGCGCCGGCCTGAGTCACATGATATTGAAACTTTCCTTTCTTTCTTCTCTCTCAGGAGTAAAGATGGTGTCTTGCTGATCTTTATGCCCCTGGTGCCGTAATATGCACCCAGTAAATTCTGATCAACTGGACACACATGTGAAACAATGAGGCATTCCATATTTTATACTTTGCTGAGACAAAAGCTACAGTAGGTTGATCCTACCCTAAATCAGTAGCTCTCTAAATTTATAGAAACTCAGTAGGTAACAAAACATAAATACTGATTCATGATGTCTCATAAAACTGAATGCCAACTTTGTTGATTAGTCTTTAACAAGATTCATAAAAAGTTGACAATACTGAGTGGCAGCTTCAGGGAGGCATCATGGTCCTGCAGGTTAAGCTTGCTTGTGACACCAGCACCCATATCAGGGTGTTGGTTCAAGTCTGGGATGCTGTGCATCCAATGCAGCTGCCTGCTAATGTGTCTGGGAGGGCAGCAGAGCCTGGCCCGAGTGCTCAGGCCCCTGCTATCTATG